GCACTTAAAGAGGCAACAGACAGCATTTTTTCCTAAATATATAATTATGAAAATAATGTGGGTTGCACAGGGTAGTGGTCGCAGTAAAATCAGACTATCAGCGTTTACATAGGTTACTTAGTGGCTTTGCAATCTTTGTAATAAGCTTCTGCCACGAGGAGCAAAATTTCGCGGAAAAAAAGGCTTAATGTATTCCGAAACTGGTCGGTCAGCCAATCAGGGACTGGAGCTGGTCCTCATGAGGAGTTGGGCATGAGATAGTTGAGTCACGAACACAATGGCAGACGGACAAAGTTTGGAAAAAAGTGAAAAAAGAAGAATAGCGAAAGAAAACGAGCTCCTCTGTCTGAGGAGGCAAAGGAGAGTGATAAAAGAAGAGGAAAAACAAGAGTAAACCTCAGTCAGGCATTCAAGAGATGGAGGGAACTCCGTGACCAAAGAGGCTTCAAAACCGATGTCCAGCTAGCTTTGTTTCTAATGGATCAGTAAGTAACACGGCTAAATGTTAGCTAGACAAGAGAGGACTGTACTGTACTGGCTGCTAGTTAATTCCTAGCTGGCCAGAATCGCAAATCGCTGCAACCAGGGACCGGGTAGCGAGTGTTGGTTGGCTGACATCCTCGTTGCCATTCTGCAGCAGCTTTGGACAGTCATACCCCCCTCCCTTCCTTCTGTTCTCTTCTCACAGAGGCAGCTATCGATGGACATCGCCCAGCTAAGTTACGTCCAGCTGTGAACACTGGACTTTTCACTACAATGGCCTTAGACTGAGGAGCATCAAAATCAGTTAAAGTTAGTCCACACAGCTCTCACAAGCTGTCCTGGAGAGCAGGGAGATCATGTCGGTCACTGGCTATAAATGTGAGGGCAGCCTTCGCAGCTACTGGGCACCCAACATCTCCGACCGGGAGAAGTGGAGTAAAATCCTCTCCTCCGCTCTCATTTGTCTGGTGAACGCCTCTCCTCTGTCTATACACTCTGCCAGCAATTTAATAATATTGATGCCAGTTGTAACATTTGAATGTTTTAGTAGTAAGTCATGTTCTCAGCGGGATAATGTATAGTGAGCCGGTGACAGTTGAAAAACAACTCCGCTGCGCGTTGGGGTTCCATTCCCCTGTTGGGAGTTATTTTTCAACAGTCACCGGCTCACTATACATTATCCCTTACGTGTCTACTGTTGTTTGTACTGATACTGTACATATTGGTATAATTTACTGTGAGCTGTTTTTACTGGTACTGTGCATTCTGGTATAATTATTTGCATTACTATTTGTTTTTTCTTCAGATACATTTCATTATCACATTACATTTTTACATTTCTAATGTAAAACTTACTCTAGCCTAATATTGTTTGCTCTGTTGCAATAATAAAAGACTTTGAAGTAAGTCAAGTCCTCTCGTGCCCTGTTGTACGGAGTGTGTGGTCCCCTCCCATTTTCATAGCTACTAACTGACAAATCCACCCACAATCAGATGTCTTCTGATACAAATCCTAGAAGTCCTTGGAAGCCAATCAGCCATAAGTAAAACACCTCGGACCTACTGATTATTATCAGAAGATCATGGTTATCATGGAAGAATCACATTCACGCAGTTTATGTACTGATCAAAACACCTGATGCATTGCTAACTTAAGAAAAATATTTCATTGCTGGAAAGATGGTCTTTTCATAAAACTCGGCTTTCTGCCAGGACCTGATGTGGAGTTGCAATTTTTGGCAATTTTCCAAGCAATCCCCCCCCACCCCCTTATAAAATCACACAGTTTGAAAATTAGTGTCACCAATTGAGTATCTGACCAAATTTCTCCCCTTCTGTTCCTGAGATATGACGTTGTATAATAGCCAGAGAAGTGTTTTTGCAGAGCATTATGATGTCATATTGAAGTTGACCTTTCACCTTTTGGGTATAAAATCTCATCACTTCTTCATTTTATTCTATTAGTCATTTGTGTAAAAAATTGTCATAAGAGAGGGAGAGGCGGAGGGTGTCCTCGCTCGGTATTGTAAATGAGTATGTGTGTGTGAAGTGTGTGTTTTTTCGCCACTGACCGGTTCAGATCGCCAGTGCTATCTCTGTAAATAGCATACTAACTTAGCCTTTCCCTTACCTCTGGGCTGTGTGATGTCACGAGCTTTGCTCCACTGTGTCTGTAGCTCTCTCTACTCGTGGGACAGCCATTTTCTTGAGGAAGAGGTGTTTCAGGATTGGATGTCTTCTCTTCTTCAGCTGGCAGTAGTCATCTTGGGAGAAGTGAGCACTGCAGACCCGATGGTCTGCAAGGCGCAGTGTCTGGAGAGGAGTGTTAGCATCCATTTGTAGCACAACTAGCCACAACTTCAGCATCTCGCCATCCGACAAAGGCAGCCTATGAAAGCTATAACTTACGGGGTGTTGCACGACATCCTGTTCTTGTGTTCAGGAAAAAGGCCCGTTTATTTAAACACTCCAAAAACTCCAGTAACACTCCAGGGGGTAGCACGTAAAAGACTCCATCCTCTGACTCTTCTAGCGTAACACACACTTCACACATACATACTCATTTATATTACCAAGTGGAGACGCCATCCGCCTCTCTGCTCCAAGACTGACTGACAGCTGACTCCACTCATTCACAGTCACCACTGCCCCAGGGCCGCTACAATATGCTATCTACAGAGATAACACTGGCGATCTGAACCGGTCAGTGGTGAAAAAAAGCACTTTTATACGGGACGCATTTGCCCCCATTACCGATTTAGCTTGTTTCGCGGCTCAATAGAGCCCAGGTTGAAAAATACCGAAGTTGTCCTTTAAGCCAGACCGTTGGTGGACAGTTCACAGCACAGCTAGACTAGACTTGCCAGGCATGCTGCTCACGTGGATGGACCCACACTACCAGTAGACTACCTTGCTGCTCACATCTTCAAAGTTCAACAGATTGTCATACCAAACTGTGAGAAAACAAGCACAAATTTGGAATAGCTGCGACCAAATTTGCTACTATCATGCCATTAATGGAAGAATCATGATTGTTCTTCCTGGCATTTTTTCAATTACTTGTGGTCTCTAATTGCAGCGTGTCAATTTTGAGCATTTTTGGTCAAGGACTTTTTGAGTTATTCACAAAAAAATATGAATCGGATAGTATAGCACCACCTATGGACGAATTGTGGGCATTCTTTCTGGTATAGTTACTCATGTCTCTGGTTGCAGTATGCAAATTATGAGCATTTTTGGTCAAGGACTTTTTGAGTTATTCACGAAAAGCTTTGTGGACCGGTCGACCAACCAACTGACAGAGGGACCTGTAGAGCTGCGGGTTGCTGCTAAAAAGAAAAAAAAAAAAAAAAAAAAGTATTTTCTGTATTTGAAAATACAAAATACATGCATTTTATTTTGATACATTTTCTGACACCAATATTTTGTATTTTATTTTGATACATTTATTTGAGGGGTATTTTGTATTTTGTATCAAAATACATTTTGATGTATTTTTGCCCATCTCTGACTACAGTCACCTTTTATATTATCTTGCATAAATGCTCAGTGGATGTGTTTCTGGACGTATTTCTGCCAGCAATAAACTCAGCAGGGAGAAATTATGCTTGGTATGAGGTGGATGTTTCTTGGATACTCTGAACTTTTACTGGCTCCCCATCCAAAACTCTATTTCTGAAATAACTTTTTTAATGGTCAAACGGTACAAAATACTGCATTTGAGAGAATTCATTGTCACAATGTTAAAAAACAGTGTTTCCCCTATATGCAACTAGCTGCTAAAATATGACCGCTGCTGCTGAATTTTTTTTTTTTTTTTTCCTGTCTTAGCTCTTTAGAAACTACCATTACAATAATTGGCGCCACGGACGCTTCATATCCAGGTAAATTCACACACTTGTGAGTAATGCATATAAAAAGGAGAGGAGAGGGCTCCGTCTTATCTCTTCATAAACTAAAGTTATATTATTTTGCACGACTGATGCTTCATATAATAACATAACAATATACTTTTTATCGTGTTATGTCATCATGTCATTTCTTAGACTACATTTGGCACACTGTGTTTTTAACTCAGTGAAAGTGGAAAAATAATATTAATATAAAGTATTTTAATGCAAGTTTTTTGGCACAGACAGTTTACTGTTGCACACATTGAAACATTTTATACACTATTTCGAATATTTGTCTGTGGTAATAATTGGTTTGTGAACAATCTATAAACATTATTGGATGCTGTTATGCCCCAGGCTAGGGGAAAAGAGGTACAACATAAATGAACAAAATGAAACTTACTTCTCAACCAGTCTGTCTAGCCCTGGGAGGAAACAAAGAAACAAACAAAATTACAAAACTAAACCTGACTCCCGAAACTAACAAAAACAGGAGAAAAAGGGGATCAAAATAAATGGCAGTTTACCCCTACTGCTTCTTGACAATCTATATAAAAATACTATTACATAATGAAAGGAGTGCCGAAGCACAGCGAGGGGAACACGTTACTAACACAAAGACTGAATTTGCTAACAAGCAAAGCTAATGATCAGTACAAGCTATGAACTAACAAATCTCACAAAGGTCAAAATACACAGATCAAGCAAAATTCGCAGAAAAGGCAATCGAGGAGGAGTGCCACACTGATCAGTGACAGCCCTCTACGCGGACTGAGGAGCACTGCTATTTGAAGTGGACCGGGCTTGCTGTCAGCTCATCAGGCTCGTTGACAGTTCATCTGCAGCAGCTGCGGAGGACCAATGGCTGTCGGCGGGAGGCGGGACCTGTCAATGAGCAAGGATTGTACAACAAACAGGAGCGCTCACTCGAACTAAAAAATAATGGACGAGGAAAACCCACGGCAAAAATACAAAGCATATAATATACAACACTAATAACACACACTCAACGGCTGGGGGCCGTAACACCCATAGACATAATAAAGAGTAGACGGCTGCTGGGGCGCAAGAAATGCGGCCGCCATCTTGAACCGGTCATCCTACCAAAGCAGCAGAAGATACAAGATGCCTGAGCACTGTGTGGCGTATTCCTGTTCAAATTGGCAGACTATTGAAAACAGGGCTCAGGGGATTACTTTTCACAAGTAAGATTGAACATTATTATTGGTTGTATTTTGTGAATAGAATATTACTGTACTGTCCTAATGTCCACCAGCGAAATCGTAGCCAGCTAACATTAGCTAGGCTATGTTTAGTGCCAGTGTTAACCCGGCTATGAAGGCTAACTGAGACTTTATAAATCATATATTCCATAACACTGACTTAGATTACAACTGACACAAGAATGCTATTGTAGAAATAAAACAAATATTACTGGTATAACATTGACCAGCAAATTTTACACAGGTGGCACAGACTGTATTATTCACATGTAATTCTTTCACCCTAACAAAAGTAAGATACCGCTCATGTCTCATACCCACCCCACTTACTTAAAAATACAGACAACAGAACATCTGACTGTAGAATAGTTTGCAAACAAGCTTACTCACAATTTCAGCAGCTTTGGTTCATTATCAACAGATATGCATCAAAATAGGAGTTTTGTTGAAGAAAGGTTCTAAGAAATCTGAAAGAAGAAAATAGGAAGAAGAAGTAAATAGGAAAATAGGAAAATAGGAAATAGGAAGAAGAAGGAAGAAAATAAGCTTGACCTCCTTTGTAAAATGTTTTTGTGTAGACTCTCCCAAATCTCCCGTTTTCATTTTGAAGGTTTCCCAAAGACAAAGATGTGAGGAAGAAGTGGGAAGTGGCTTTGAGGAGGGAAGGATTCACTGCAAGTGATTCATCCGTGCTTTGCAGTGAGCATTTTAAGCAGGACGATTTTGATAGGACAGGTCAGATTGTCCGACTCAGAGATGATGTTATTCCATCCATCTTCAGCTTCCCGGTTCACCTCCAAAGAGTAGGTGTATCATCATAAGGCTATTAGCATTCATAAATGTAAATATTCTATTATCAATCACAGGGCAGGGTGAGATACTTATCCCTGTATACTATATATA